CATTTAACCTTAAATTAACAGGGAGAAAAAGAATGGAACGCCTGCGATTCATGGATCCGAGATTGGCCTCTGTTTACGTGGGTTTAGGGTTTCAGGCCCAATGTTTTTAGGCCGAAACAATAGTTGTAGACGTGTAGTGTAGAGTAGCTTTAGGCCCAAGATAAAAGGGCTTCGATAATGTTAGTCCTGAGACCAACTGGCAGTCCACGTCCAATGAATGAAGTGGCCAACTCAGGGTCAGCATTTTTTGGTACATTTTGAGAGTATAAGATATACTTGATATTTAATTTAAAAATTTCTAGATATAATTTTTTAAATTTGATATTTACTTAAATACTTAAATATTTACACTTGGTATTTAAACTAACAGCAAGAATATATTTATGAGGTGATGCTATAAGGACAACCTCTTTATATCACATTTTGATATAATTTTCACATGTTATTAAATGAGTTGATGCATTCAATATCACAAGTTTCACATAAATTAAAAAAAATCAATCATTTAAATGATATGTGAGGTTGTACCAAAAATTTATAAAAAAAAATTGTCACAAAATCATTTCCCATATTTATGCACTTGATTTAGGAAAAAAAAAAGGTTTAATATGAGATATTATTAAATGTGTTATATATTTGGATTATAGTTTATTATTTATACAAATTGTTATTGTTATGTATGTGATTTATTTGGTTTATAAGTCTTATTTAACTTTTATTTTTATTTAAAATATATTATATATCACTCATAACTTTTAAAAAATATTAAAATCCAACTTGTAAAACTATATCGTGTTATTTAATTAAATTCAATTCCTTCTTTCACCCCTTCCTTTTGTAGGTTTTCACCCCATAGGTGATTCAATCCTCGCTGGTAGTATAAAGATGGGTGTTTATGTCAACAGAATCATATATTCATGTCAGCAAGATTATTCAATTTTAAGAGTCATTTTATTGTTGACATGAAATCTTATACATGAGAAAGAAAACAAATCTTCTCTTTTCCATATTCAACAAGAAATTGGTGTAAGAAAAGAAAAGCTTACTGTTGTTGCTGCCGGTGGAGGACAAAAAGGGTAAAAGTTAAGATCATACGTACCATCTTAGGTCGCTAAGGAAACACATTGCGCTAGAAAGCCAGGAGCCCACATTTTTTTTTTTTTTTGAACATGCCAGGAGCCCACATTACTTACCATCAACGAAAACATTGTGTATGGATCGTCCGATGAAGTCGCCAAGTCCGAGATCATCAAGGCGGCAAAGGCAGCCAACGCTCATGATTTCATCTCCAGACTAAGGGATGGCTATGATACGCGGTGTGGGGACAGCGGAGTGCAGCTATCAGGAGGACAGAAGCAGCGGATTGTCATAGCCAGGGCCATACTAAAAAGCCCAGCAATCCTGCTCCTTGATGAAGCCACCAGTGCGCTGGATAGCCAGTTCGAAGAAAGTGGTGCGGGAAGCACTGGAGCGAGTGATGGTGGGGCGGACGAGCGTGGTGGTGGCGCACTGGCTGAGGACCATAAAGAAATGTGGTCTTATTGCCGTGTTGGATAAAGGGCAGGTGGTGGAGAAAGGGACCAACAAGTTCTTGTTGGCAAAAGGACCCACTGGAGCTTACTTTTCATTGGTCATCCTCCAAAGGACCCCACGGAACATGGTCAATTAGGTTTTGTGCAGGAAAATGATTTTTGTATAATTTTTTTATTTCATATTTTAATACAATTTGACGTGTTATTAAAATAATTGGTTCTTTTAATTCATGTAAGACTCATAATATTAAATACATTTACTTATTTACTGATATGTGAAAATCATATAAAAAAGTGATATAAAAAATTTATCTCTATAGCACCACTCGTTTTATGCACGTATGTTAGGCAAAATTAGGTTTTTCTTTGAATGCCTTTCTTTTTTACTTTTGGAAATGGAAGGAGGATCAAAGATAGCAACTTATTTTTTTGGCACATTAGAGGGTTAATTGTTCGGCATTAACTTGGTCAAATTTTTATTGATAATATAATAACTTGTATCTAATAATATATTTAAATTGAAGGAAGTACAGTGAAAGGAAAAAAATTTTAACTAATAAAATTATAATATTTTTTAAATGTTATAATTTAATTGGTTAACAAAAAATTTCCTCTCATTTTCTCCCCTCCACCCCAGGTTTTAATGAATATTTACCCAAAAAAAAATTCTTCTATTTTTTAATGAAGAGAAAATTGATTTTTGACCAAAAATAATATGCATATTAATAGAGTATTTGTTTTTCCTTCATCAAAGTCAGTGATTGCAAATATGGTTTGGGCTTATCCAAAGCAATGGATGGCAAGTTGGCTAGACGGATAAGCTTATCTAGCCCATGACATACTTTTTTTAGTGGAAAAAAATAAGGCTAATTACTAGTATATGTTGAATGAATTCAGTCTTTGATTTCAAATTGAATTTGTTTTTGTATGTAGTGTATATATATGAAGTCAACTAACTTTTTGTTAATATTACACTCTTTTACTTGAATTCTAATTTGTTAACCACGTAATCGGTTTAGTGCTAATGTTGAAGTGATAGGTAAAGAACTTCTCTTATTGTGTACTTAATTTTTTTTTTTAAAAGAACAATGAAGTTGCAATTAATTATTGTCTAACTTAGCAAAAATGTGTTTGTGTTTTTCTAAAAGTGGTTAATGTAAATTCTCATTAGCTGTCTTCTTTATAAAACATTCTAATGGTTAAGAATCTGTGATAATCTATCTAAGAAGCATAAAATTTGAATCTTAAAATGAATGAAAGGAGTTTGGAAAAAAAAAGTGTTATATATGTACTTTTTTTAAATTATACAATAAAATATAGTTTTCTTTTATCATTTAACTCATTTAACTCATATATCATGCTACTTAAATTCAAAATTTTTTATTTTTATTAAAAGAATTATTACTTAACTATATAAATTGTTAGTAAAAAAATGTTATATTCTATTATATAGTTAATTATTAAATGTACTAAAAAATTTCCTGCATACAAAAAACTGAAATTAGATTCCCTTCTACTGCTTAGTTGCTGTTATTAACTACGCAAGATAGTATTACCCTAAAATACCGGGCCGTACAATTGGTAATCTCTTCAAATTTTACAATTCCAACAATGCCCACCAACAATTCAGGCTGTTACGATATGACTCAGGGCTAATTTGTCCCAATACTTTACCAAATTGAACACTTGTACGTAGATAAAGAAATAAATCTATATTTGTTAAAGAAATAAATCTATATTTGTTACACTTTAAAATTTTTTTGTTGTATTAACCTTCCGGTATTAGGTAACCACATTGAATCATGATAAATCTGAAATCGAGTTGTGTCGGATCCAATTAAAAATAAATTTTATTTTATTTAAGGAGAATCAAATTTTTTCCACTCAAATTAATAAATTGGTAGTGTTTTACCTTTAAGTATGAGTTCATTATTTTCATTATAGTTATCCAAAAATCTATATTTTAAAGTTTAATAGAGTTAGGGTTGCAAAACAGCCTTTCCTGAAAAATTTACTCCTTTTTAGTGTACCCTATTTTGCAGTTTCTTTGTTCTGTCTCTGTTCGGGGCATGGGATTAGCCATTGGAGAACTCATGTGCCCTTCTGAACTCTGAACTCTGAACTCTGAACTCTGAAGGGCACTAAACTTAAAGAAGGGACTTACAAGTTAAAAGTTAAGGCCGAGACAAAACTCGGATTGTACTTTGGGTAGCAGGCCCTACGAAAAGTGGGCTTGGATCTGCAGCCTAGACCTGGGGACTTCTGATCAAGTCCGTTTGAGCATTACTATATTTTTTCCCAACTTGTTGCATGTGACTTAAATATTTTTTAAAAAAAAAACGAACATCAAAAAAATTTATTTTTAAAAGATTATTAAAAGTGCAATGAAGTCTTTGAAAAATGGAGATGGCAAAATTTATTATCATTAACAAAATTTTGGTCTGTTTTTTGTGGGAAATTGTAGTGGAATTGGTATTGACAAATGATTGTTGGAGATGTTCAATTATAATATAAAGGCACAAGAAGCCTTAAATTCAATTGAGATGTCAATAACACCATTATAACACTCTCATCACATTTAAGTCTAATTGAACAAGATTTTACAAGCAAACAATGAATGCAATGTATTAAACACACCTTCAAAATATCTAATCTTAAAGTAAATGTAGTTCAAAACAAACTGAAGGGAGGAAAAAAATTATTTGAATGTCCATATTCATATATGAAATAATTGGAAAGTTATTCATATACTTAGGTTTAACAAAATTACAGAATAAATGCAAATAACTTTAAAAATTAGATTCACTAATAAGTAAGTATTATTTTGTAAATTAAGTTTATGGTTCAAGTTCTCAGACTATCATCTAAGAAAATTAATTTTCTTAAATATATTATATTGATATAAGAATGTTAAGTGACATTATTAAGATCTCTCAAGGAAAAATTAGTCTTGAGATACGTAAAAACTAACTGAAAAATATCATAATCCTAAATACAAAAACAAGAAGAGGAAAGATGATTTACTTTTATAGTGAATTAATTAACAAGTATACCTAAATCTGGATTGCCCTCAATTTATTACAACTTCACCAAAAGAAAGATCAAGGTAAAGTCCCTCAAATAACCCCCACTCAAACAACCCCAAACCCTAATTCACCCAGAACAAAACATGGACTCCCTTTTTGTTTTTCTTATTATTATTATTAAAAGAGCAAACATTGGGCTGATGCCATTGACTTCGGCTGAGGTTTGAGACCTAAGCCCACTTTTCTGAAACAAAAATATGAGATGCGAAATGTACTGTCTTTCAAATTAAAATGTGGGTGCGTAGCATACAAAACCCCCTTAAAGGCTTAAACACAGAGTCTCTTCTCCTTAACAATTTCGAAATTTTCATTCCAGATTTTGACTCTTCTCTGGGATTTATTACTCCTAACGTACCAAGTACCTTCACCAAATATCGTCCCTGCTTTTTTCCATTCTTCAATTCCCTTGTGCTTTACGCACACCCGACCCGAGTTGCGACCAAGGGGTGGCGGCCTAAAACTCACAAAAACCAAACGCACAGACTACGCGGGTTCTTCTTTTCTGAGGAGATCAGAAGCTTGTTGCTTTGCTTCTGTCTCTTCCTTCTCTCTGTATCCTGTAAGATCTGTTCTAAACGCAAGTGGGGTTTTCTTTTGCCCAATTTCTGATATGGGTTTTCCTTTTCTTACATGTTTGTGTCATTTGTTGTTTCAAAGTTTGTTTCTTTAGAGAAGAATTGATTTTTTTTTTCTTTCTTTGTTTTGTTTTGTTTGCAGTATGAAGCGGGCACGGGACGATGCATATCCTGCTCCTCAATTTAAACGTCCCCTTAGTTCGTCTCGTGGGGAATCGTGAGTTCCTTGCTATGTGCTTCCTGCCTAAGAGTTGATTGATTTTTAGGATTTTTAATTTTTCTTGTTCATATTTTCTGCTAGTTTCTGTTTGGCGGGGGTTTTTGTGTTTCCCTCCGTGATGGTCATAGTTCAATTTTGTTGATTTGCTTGGTGAGAATTGATGAGAAATACTTCGAAACGGCTAATTGCATGGTTTTTAAGATAAGGCTTTGGTGGAGCTGATTCGTTTGTCTTGATTTGAAGAAAGCCTATTTGTTTCGTGATTTTGGATTTCATATTTTAAGTTTGCCTTGCTCTTTTGTTTTGGTTAGTACCATGCTTAACTTAGCCCGTAGGTCTTGCCTTTCCGTTTGAGTTATTTTTTTATTTTTTATTTTTTTTAAGGGCATATAGGAAAGATATGAGGCTATTTTCAAGTTGAATCTGTTCTGATTGAGGAGTAAAATAAGATTCTGCAAAATTTTCGGTAAAATAGTGTCTAAATAGATGGAAATTTTGATCTTTACATGGAGTTATTGCCTGTTGAAGCTAAATAAGGTTAAGAAAAAAAAAAAAGAAAGTTTATGACAATTCATTTAGATAATTGCCACACAAATATGCAGTACTAAAATTTTCATGGTACTGG